TCAGCCAGAACTGGTTCTGTCCAGCGGTGCAGTTTTTACTCAGCGGCTCCCCCTGCTGTTTCAGCTGTGAATCTCTGGTCCGTCCAGATTGTATTTTTCTGATAAAATATTTCAAAAATTAACGATGTTTGAATAAATGTTGCTGCAGCTCCAAACCGACTCGTCTTCATCCCTCAGAACCAGAATCAGAACCTGCTGCTGGTCTCTGCTTCCAGAACCAGAGACCAGCTGGACTTGTTGGTGACTAGTCAGCGAGTCGCCAACCGGCCATTTAAGGAAATAAGAAGGCTTTGTTCAGCGGGGGGGGGGGGATTTTACTGAGGTTTGTCTGGAATTAATCAGTTTTATTTAGTTGGGTTTAGGTCTGGACTTTGACTAGGCCATCCTAACATCTCCATGGAAACCATTCATCACATCTCCATGGAAACCATTCATCACATCTCTGGGTCTGGTGGAATTAAAGGTCCGTTTATAGAAAACATTTCAGTGAGAAAATCCAAGTCAGACTTTCAGCTCTTTTCCAGTCTGCTGGGAGTTTATTCCAGATTAATGGCGCATAGATGCTGCTGCTCCATGTTTGGTTCTGATCCAATAAACCTGAGGGAATTTCTCCAACATGAGATCAATACAGTTTAATTATTCAATATCAATTATTATAATCATAAAGCCCTTCCAGGGAGGGGGCAATGGTTGGTTTATTCTTTAATAAAATGCTGAGTCAGTGAATCCGTCTCCTTTATTTTACTGCATGGCTGAACGTTTTCCAGCAGGTATGAGGTCATTATTCAGAATAAATTAAATGTTGGTTTATCAAGAAGGAGGAAAAACTAAAATTAATAATTTGAAAACTGTTCAAAGTGTCAATAACATTTTGTGTTAACGGCTTTTTGGTTTCCAGCTTCTTTAGTTCTGATGTTTTAAGTTTTTATATTTTTAAATCAGTGTTTCCTAACAGCTGATTGGCTGAAGCGTTTCTAAGGTTCAGATCTATCCTGAAAGCCGACCTGCCCCAGAAACAAACCTTCTACTGGGAAGCTTTTCATCTCAGGATGAGATAAAGAAGGAAATAAATGTAATAAAGTCGGTCTAATAAATCCCTATCAGAGCGGATACAACCAGGGGCGGATTTAGGAAGGCTGGGGCCCCAGGCAAAGACAGGCAGGGGCCCCTCTGAATGGAGACAACATCAAACAGCCCCATTCTCCAGATAGAGAAATGTTAATAGAATAGACATCCATTATCTGTTCTAGGTTGTGTCCCTCTCTTCGTGTCCCTTTTCTTCTTGTTTTCCTCTCTATGTTTTGTACTCAGCTGACTTTTCATGCTGTCTCTAAAGGAATGAAAGATTTTTTCCAAGCACTAAGCTCACTTAGCTGATTGCTCCTTCCTGTGTTTCCAAAAAGGCCAAAGTAAATAACCCAGTCCTTCTTTTCACTGTAGACAAGCCATGATCTGCTTATCTGTTCTCCATTTTTCATTTGGATGAAATAATAGCTGCATGAATCATGACAGCAGACAAGATAGAGGAGAGCAGGAGGCGGGGTTACCAATCTACTCGCTCTGGAGAGCAGAGTTCGCTGCTTTTAGATGTTGTCTCCAAAGTCTCCAGTAGCAGAAAAAAGTCTCTAGATTTGGCGCTAGGAGCTTTTTAGAAATCAAAGTGCTAGAGGGGTCTGAAAAGTGGCTAAATATAGCGACTAAAGCGCTAAGTTGGCAACACTGCTCTTTGCATGGTTTGTTTTCAAATGGTTTGGTGCTGTCTGTTTGGACCTTTCTGAACATGTGCAGCAAATGGACTGATCCAATATGGTGGACACTGAGGGGGGGGGCTGAGACACACTTAATATTATCAGCGTTCTGATGGCATTTTAGAGAAAGGATTTTTATCAGAAACATAATTAATGTGCAGAAATGAGGAATAGTTGTATTAACCATACATAGAAACAGAGTTTTATGGGGCCCCCAGGAACCTGGAAAATGTTTCCCAGCAAATTTTGCAGCAATTGCTTAAAAAAAGATTTTTCTTCTAAACTTGATTCTTTGGACTCTAATGAAAAAGCAGAACTTAGCGAGCTGCAGCTCAGACTGGATGGGATCTATAAAAGCAGAGCTGATCACATAGATAATGGTGGAGTAGAACTCTGCATGCTTCTTTAGACCGGAGAGGCAACAGTCAAAAATAACCATTAAACCGTCTCCTTCTATGCAGCTGGCGACCAATTGTTAAGCCATGATTGCAGCATTTTAGTGATAATATTAGGAAATAGAATTAAATCTATTATAATTCAATCATTGATGAAAGCCAGTCTGGTTCTAAGAAAAAAAGGCTACATTTCTAATAATCTAAATTTTAAATAATCTGGATTATTCTGAACTCATGCAGGTTAATAGTTTAATGAAATTCATGCTGACTAAACTTAAAAGTTTAGGTTTTGGTGATTTTTTCTATAGATGTGTTCAGACTCCGTATGCAGAAGGTTATAGCAGCATTACCTTTTGGTTCATCTCCTAGATCTAGTAGATGTGTTCCACTGTCTGTATATCTATTTCATAGAGACTGCAGGTCTAATTATTTCCATTAAGCGGTTGGCTGATGATGCAGCTTCCTCTGGCTCCTCCCCTTTATGGTGGATTTATTATGGGTGCATAAACTCTCACATAAATTCTTACATATCTGGGCAACAATATCACTGATATTATGAACAGAAATGTTATTAGCTTTAAACCAATCCTGGAAAAATCCAAACAGATATTTAATATCTGGTTAAAGATTTCTGTGCTTAAGAGGTGGAGTTCTGCTCTCCAAGGTTTATCCCGTCTTCCCTGAACCTCCCGTCTCTATCTGGATAATTCAGTTTGTAAATCTGAGTTCTTATGCAAAAACAAAACACATTATTTATGTAAATCTGTCTTAAAGCTGGAGGCTTAAACTTGGCTGATTCCTTTAATAGCTTTATGCTGGTTAAGATTCTCAGTCATTCCAAAAAAAGTTCAAATCAATCCACTGGACTTTGTTTCCAAGTCTGAAGACATTTTTCTTCCATCCAGGAAGATTTTTAATTCAAAAAGCTTGTTTTTGGTTAGAAAACATTCCTATTGAAACTGGAAAACCAGCTCCAGGCCTTAATAATGGGAGTTGATGAGGTCATTATTGGCCTGTAATACCTGATCCTAGGCCTTTCCTCTGAAAGGTGGTCGTTAAAGTGCGATTTTTTCAATCGTTACTCGCAGCTACAACTCAAACTGTACGATGAAACTGCAGGGTTTAAAAGTTTAAAAGCCATGTTTGTTCTCTCACTGCGACCCGACGCTCTGATGCGATCTACCTGCTCACACTGTACGTCTAAAAACCAGGTGGGACTCAGCTCCGCAGTGAGATGGCGCTACTGGGACTCGTCTATCTGGAAGCCAAACCAGTAGCAGAGGAACATGAAGCTCACTAGAGTGAAACGCGCTGCCTTGGATATTTGGGCAATTTAGTGCTGAAAGCCCTAAAAAGAAAAGGAGACGACGTATTTGGACAAAGACATGGCTGAGCTAACGTGGCTACTACGGTCTGTCAGTTTGACAGGAAGAACTCCATTTCACTCATTGCCCCCCCGCCATGTTGCTGGGTTTTCCTTTTGAGAAGAAGAAAAAGAATCCTTGTTTGCCCACTGAGAGATTTACCCACGACCACCTTAAGATGGCCGACTGGATTTCAAACATGTTTGATTTTCTCCCGACCTTCTGATTCCTGATGGGGGGGGGGGGGGGTCGTTAGAGGCTGATCGCCCCTCGTTACCCCCTGGTCACTACACCACACCATCAGGCTGGAAGTAGACCTGACTGAAAAAATTGTCCCACAACTGGAGAATCAGCCCGAAAAGGACAATTTGAATAATCAACATTTTAAATTGAAAAATCTTCCTGGATGGGAAGAAAAACGTCTTTAAACTTGAAAAACAAAGTCCAGTGGATTGATTTTAAACTTTAAGTTTTTTTTAATTAATACCTTTAAAATAAAATGGATCAAAAAGCCCAACTCAATCTGGAACTTTATTTATACTCCTCTGACCTGGGCAGCCCGGAGTTTCTTTAACCATCCTTATATTATTCCTGAAATCCCCGCTAAACTCTCCACCCTGAACCAACAGGGACGTCTAGCATCGTTCCTTATCTAGAAACGTTTCTCCCAGATGTTTCCTTTGTAACGATTCCACCATGATGAACAAAAACAGCTCATTATTCTCCAGGAATCATTGGCCTCTGCTACCGTCCAATCAGCTGTTAAATAACAGGTCATCCTCGTTGCCATGGTGACAGGGTAGGATGCAGTGTTGTGTTTAAAGCTGAAGTCTGTAAGTTTTTAAAAATCATTTTTTGGCATATTGGCTAAAACTGTCCCTATGTCCAGACAGCAGTACATGTGATATGTAACCTGTGAAAAAAACTGCTTCAATTGGTCCCGCCTACTGCCTGTATTTCAATCTGGAAAGAATAATTCGGGACGAGACAAAACAACCAATCACAGCCAGAGGAGCTCGTCTGCCTGGCTGTGTGTTTCCTGGACGGGGCCGCCTGTGGAGCTGGTTGACAGTTGCCTTTTGTATCTATGCTTCTTTTTCTATGTCTGCTTCTGTCTCCTTGAACCCCAGTGGGCCTCAGCAGATGGCCGCTCACACTGAGCCTGGTTCTGCTGGAGGTTTCTTCCTGTTCAAAGGGAGTTTTTCCTCTCCACTGTCGCTACAAGCATGCTTAGTGTGAGGGATTGCTGAAGAGTCAATGAGTCGATGCAATCAGCTGGTTTTCCTTAGAAAACTTTGAATCAATCTGACTGGATGATCTGGTTGATCTGGATCTATAAAGTGACCTGAGATGACCTGATTTGAATTGGCGCTATAGAAATAAACTGAATAGAATTGATCCTGCTAAAGTGTAAAATGTTCTTTGGAGATCACTTCATAAAAATAAACTCTACTAAAAGTCTCTTCCGGCGGACTCTTCGTTCCGGGCCGCCGTTGCTACCCGGGACATAATGCGGACGGACAGTTGCCATGGGACGCAGACGCTGCTGCGGTAGCTTAAAGCTAACGGAGCTGAACTTTGTTGAAAGGCAGAAGAAACGTCATTAAAACGTCAGAGTCCAGTTTCCGCTCGCATAGTTGCGTCAGCGGGGCGGTAAATGATGTCAGCAGTGACGTTTTCACGGTGAAGGACTACAAAAGGATAAGCCGCGAGGCTCCGCTGTTGACCTGTACGGGAGCCGGGAGGTTCATCCGCAGCAGGACGCCTCTCCCCCAGGCCAGGTTCAGCCCCTCTGGTTCGGTTCTGGTTCGGATCATGTCGGACTGTGACCCAGCTGCAGAGGATCCAGGTTCTACTGGGCCTCCTACCCGACCTGCTCTGGCAGCCAAGGCTCTGTCGGAACCGTTCGGGCGGCTTCGGTACCGGGACACCTCCCTGCTGATCTGGCAGCAGCAGCAGCTGGGGGCGGTACCGCCCTCCACCTACCTGACCCGCAGCCAGTCCGCCTGGTACAGCAGCTATGGGAACCAGGCGGTTCTGGTCCGGAACCGCGGGGCCCTGCGTGGTTCCGAAGGACAGTCCCGGATCTGCAGCATCATGTAGAACTGCTGCGGTTCCGGATGGGCAGAACCCACCTGAAGGTTCTGACCTGAAGATCCACTGGATCCGGGATCTAAACAGAACTTTCTGGTTTAGGAAGGTTCCGGTCCAAAGTCCTGGGGTTCTATTGGACTATGAGCCGGTTTAGTGGTTCTGTTGGACCTCTCTTTCCTGTGTGTTTGGACCAGAACCCTCTAGATCTAAAACAGGATGACTGAACCGCCATAGATCTATGTGACACAGAGTGAAAGATGTCACAGAACATTTGTCCAACACAGAAAGTTCAGTGGAAGGAAAAACTGCCCCAGGAACCGCTTCAGGTTGGTCCAGATCCAGGCCAGTGCTCAGAGGTCCAGAGTAGGACCGGACCAGAACCCACCAGACTGAACGTTCCAGTCAGCAATGATTTCAGCTGGATCTGGTCCACTGGGTGTTCTGATGGCACCACCCACCCAGTCTTTATGGAGCTGCTGATGCAGAACCTGGTACCAGAGGCTGGTCCACTGAGCATGGTGGGCCGGACCAGAACCTCATAATCTATGGAGTCAAAGGAAAATGAGAAATAGCTGGGCTTCTGTTGGACCTCATCAGAACCACAGGCTGCTCTCCTCTATGCCTGCAGAACCACCATGGCTCAGAGGAGCCCAAACCCGGTTCTGGATGCCTACGGATCGACATTTCAAAAATATTCTTTACTGTTTAAAGTCTGTTATTGATCCAAAGGTTCTGATGTTCTGAACTTTGGGTTTTCCTTCTGAGACAGAATCAGGAAATAAAGGCTGAACTATTTGACTCTAAGCTGTGTCTGAATGTCACTATAGAGTGCTCTATATAACCCTAACCCCTACATAGGGCACTATAGAGTGCTCTATATAACCCTAGCCCCTACATAGGGCACTATAGAGTGCTCTGTATAACCCTAACCCCTACATAGGGCACTATAGAGTGCTCTATATAACCCTAGCCCCATACATAGGGCACTATAGAGTGCTCTATATAACCCTGGCCCCATACATAGGGCACTATAGAGTGCTCTATATAACCCTGGCCCCTACATAGGGCACTATAGAGTGCTCTATATAACCCTAACCCCTACATAGGGCACTATAGAGTGCTCTATATAACCCTAACCCCTACATAGGGCACTATAGAGTGCTCTATATAACCCTAGCCCCTACATAGGGCACTATAGAGTGCTCTATATAACCCTAAGCCCTACATAGGGCACTATAGAGTGCTCTATATAACCCTGGCCCCTACATAGGGCACTATAGAGTGCTCTATATAACCCTAACCCCATACATAGGGCACTATAGAGTGCTCTATATAACCCTAACCCCTACATAGGGCACTATAGAGTGCTCTATATAACCCTAACCCCTACATAGGGCACTATAGAGTGCTCGATATAACCCTGGCCCCTACATAGGGCACTATAGAGTGCTCTATATAACCCTAGCCCCATACATAGGGCACTATAGAGTGCTCTATATAACCCTAGCCCCATACATAGGGCACTATAGAGTGCTCTATATAACCCTAACCCAATACATAGGGCACTATAGAGTGCTCTATATAACCCTAACCCCATACATAGGGCACTATAGAGTGCTCTATATAACCCTAACCCCCGCATAGGGCACTATAGAGTGCTCTATATAACCCTAACCCCTACATAGGGCACTATAGAGTGCTCTATATAACCCTAACCCCTACATAGGGCACTATAGAGTGCTCTATATAACCCTAGCCCCTACATAGGGCACTATAGAGTGCTCTATATAACCCTAACCCCTACATAGGGCACTATAGAGTGCTCTATATAACCCTAACCCCTATATTGGGCACTATAGAGTGCCCTATATAAACCTAACCCCTACATAGGGCACTATAGAGTGCTCTATATAACCCTAGCCCCTACATAGGGCACTATAGAGTGCTCTATATAACCCTAACCCCTACATAGGGCACTATAGAGTGCTCTATATAACCCTAACCCCTACATAGGGCACTATAGAGTGCTCTATATAACCCTAGCCCCTACATAGGGCACTATAGAGTGCTCTATATAACCCTAACCCCTACATAGGGCACTATAGAGTGCTCTATATAACCCTAGCCCCATACATAGGGCACTATAGAGTGCTCTATATAACCCTAGCCCCATACATAGGGCACTATAGAGTGCTCTATATAACCCTAACCCCTACATAGGGCACTATAGAGTGCTCTATATAACCCTAACCCCATACATAGGGCACTATAGAGTGCTCTATATAACCCTAACCCCTACATAGGGCACTATAGAGTGCCCTATATAACCCTAACCCCTACACAGTGCCCTACATAACCCTAACCCCTCTATAGTGCCCTACATAACCCTAACCCCTACATAGGGCACTATAGAGTGCCCTATATAAACCTAACCCCTACATAGGGCACTATATAGATTGTCTGTGCCACTTTATACTAGCATCTGAACATCTGGTGGATGAAAAAACTTTAATCAAAATTTCCCACAATGCACCTTGAAAGGTCAGGATTATCCACCGTCAGTAGATGAGCAGATATATCCCAGAATGCTTTGTGAAGATTCTCAGTCATAAAAATCAATCCTCTGGACTTATTTTCCAAGTTTGAAGAAGTTTTGAGGAAGCTTCTTCAATTCAAAATGAAATAACGTGCATTTCTAGCGAAATAGTTCCAGGATTTCATCAACCCTATCGAACTTGGAGACAAAGTCCAGTGGATTGTTTAACTTTTTGGAATATCCCAGAATGCTTTGCAACAGCTCTCCTTGGAAAGCATTCTGGGATTTGTTGTGTTTGTGAGAACAAAGATGGCGGAGGCACCGTGCAGAGGAAAAAGCAGTGATCATCTGAACGGCCAGTGAACTGAGTTCACTATAGAGTCCCCGCTCTATATAGTGATGGAGGGATTTAGGGCGGACAGTGGGATAGTCTAGGCGTCATAGATCTATGCAACTTTTCATCATGTTCTAAAGCCGGGCGTACACTGTATGATTTTTTTCCCTTTTCAGGACGATTCTCCAGACGTGTGAGAATTTCATCCTGATGGTGCGTGGTGTAGTGAACGGGGGGGGGTAACGAGGGGCGATCAGCCTCTAACGACCCCCTCCCACCAGGAATCAGAAGGTCGGGAGAAAATCAAACTTTTGGAATTCAGTCGGCCGTGCTCAGAAACCAGTCTGCATGTGGTCTGCATCTTGCAGATAAGCCCCGCCCCTTCTGCAGACCGGAGGCCTCTGATTGGTCAAATCTACATCCGCTCTACTCTATGCGTATTTCCTGTTTGGTTCCTTACTGACTTGTTTTGTTTGTCTGACCGCCATTGTGGAAAACGACTGGTGAAGATGGAGCAGCTAGCAGAGCGAGGTGAGAACGCTGGGACCCTTTTTCCACCTGGACCCCCCGCTCTTTTTGGCCCTCATGTCCCTCCGTTGTCCCACAGACTTGCCCCCATTTCTTCACCGCCTCGGCCGTATGTAGGCCCACAGCTAGTTCCTCTGGCGTTGAATGACATAGCGCAGACCACGCTTCAATATTGCGCAGAAATCAAACATATCTGCGACACGCTGCTGCGGGACGATGACCAGGCTTTAAATCTCGCTGTTGAAGCAGAGCTACAAGCCGATTTACCAGAACATCCAGCACTGCGCATCAGCAAACCAGGGAGTTCTCCTTCTTCGTCCAAACAGCGCCATCTCTCGGCGCCGAGTCTGACGTGTGGTTTCTGGACGTACAGAGTGAGAACATTGAGAGCTATGAAGTATTAAACCCTGCTGCGGTTTCATTGTACAGTTTGAACTGTAGCTGGTTGAAAATATCGCACAGCGGACGCCCGGCTTTGGTTCTACCCAGAGTTCTGAGAGGAACCCAAAGTCCGGGTTCCTCTCAGACCTGCTGGATGTAGAACTTCAGCTGAATCAAAGTTTCCAAGCAGGCCTCAGAAGGGGCTCCTTGGTCAAGGTGTGTAGGGGGCGGGGCCTGTGACAGGCAGTGAGCCAATCAGAGCCGAGTCTGTGGGTCAGTTTATGTGTTTATTTATGAAAACAAACAAAGTCAGAAAATAAGGATCCTGTTTGAGTCAATCCATCAAATAATCCACCTGATGGTGGCGGGTTGGTCGCCGGCGCTGGAGCTCCGCCTACCACAGCTACGTACAGCTACTATACAGCTCAAACATGGAGAAGAACGAACGGCCGGAGTGCATGCAGATACAGAAAATCACTTCTTCCTTTTCTTATAAAATACAAAAATTAACTATCAGCATCAAAGCTCCACCATCAACTAAAACCAAAGGGGAGGGTTACTGTGGCAACGAGCCGTCTGTCACACCTGGGGGAGACCACTGCTGAGCCGTCTGGGGGCCGTCTCCATGACAACCCCACAGGCCCAGGAAGGCTGTGAACTTTGGTTCAATATTTAAAAAAAGTAAAAATGAAAGATAAAAATACTTTAAACCGAAGAGTTGAACTGAACTGACTGCACACAGATGACCTCCAGGGGGCGCCACAGGGGGGAGGAACAGAGTTCTGGCTCAGCCAATCAGAAACTGCCACTAATGGAGACAGGACAGGCTGCAGCCTGAAAGGCAAAACCCAGGGCTCCGCCCAGCTCTCTCCTCATTGGCTGCCCGGGGCTCCGCCCAGCTCTCTCCTCATTGGCTGCCCGGGGCTCCGCCCTGTTCTCTCCTCATTGGCTGCTCGGGGCTCCGCCCAGCTCTCTCCTCATTGGCTGCCCGGGGCTCCGCCCAGCTCTCTCCTCATTGGCTGCTCGGGGCTCCGCCCACCTCTCTCCTCATTGGCTGCTCGGGGCTCCGCCCACCTCTCTCCTCATTGGCTGCTCAGATATTCCTGATCCATTCCGTTTGGGTCCAGCGGGTGGCGCCGTTTATTATTCTGATGATCAGGTCCACAGATCAGACGCTTGCAGGGTCCGTTTGGTCAGATCTGCTGCTGCCACCAGAACCAGCATCGGGTCATGCTGGTACCAGACCACCGCCTCTGCTTTCTTCTGGTTCTGAAAACCTCATCAGGCTGGAGCCCAAATGTGAGGAAACCAAACGGGTCACGACACCAACAGTCTTTTAGCTGTAGTCTCTGAACGGAGGGACCGGGCCGGACCGGTCGGTATCATCAGACGGAGGGACTGGGCCGGACCGGTCGGTACCATCAGACGGAGGGACTGGGCCGCACCGGTCGGTACCATCAGGTGTGGGTGGGTTGTCTCTGGGTCAGAGTTCAGACAGGACAGCGGTACAAATACATCGTTATATCCAGAACTTTATAAGACACAAACGAGTTCAGCACACGACCCCAAAACTTAAACAGGAGCAAAAAGGAAATGTAGTGTTAGGAAAACGGTTCGTCTCGCTGCCGCCTGGGTTACCATGGCAACAGTGACCCGAGACTGACAGAAAGGGGTGGGTTCTGGTTGAAGGCCCGGCAGAGGGCAGGAGACAAACTGGATCCTGGTTCTGTTCTGCAGAGCCTCAGAGGAACGTGTTGCAGAGAGGCGATCCCTCCGGATTTCTGATGCGTGGTTCGGACCTTGGCTGTGACATCACACAGCCAATCAGATCGCCCCTCTGCAGCATCTTGACACCGAGCTCCTCCTTTTCCCCATCATGCCACAGCTGGGATCATCAGCCCCGCCCATTTGGCTGGCGTCCTCTCATGAAGCTCTGGGGATGGTTCTGGAATGTGTTAGGAGCTCAAAGGTCAGGGGTCACTGCCGGCCGGACATGAGGAAGAGGAGGGAGTCTGGTTTCTAACTCCTCCTCTTCCTCAGAATGTCTGTTTTTCTTCATGATGAAACAGAAACACTAGCTAAAAAAACATGTCAGCCTATTTACATACAGTCTCCATGTCGAGGGGGGGAGGGGGGGATTGGTGTGTGTGTGGGGTGGGGGGTTGGGGGGGGGGTCAGAGCAGTCCTGTCTGTCGCCTCCATCACAGCCTGAACCGCAGCTTTGTTATCAGTCTGTGTCGGAGGAAGAGGAGGTTCCTGTCGAGGAGCTATCATCAGAGGAAGAGGAGGAGCTGCCACTCAAACGACTGGCCCCGCCTCCTGAGGCTCCGCCTCCAGCTGCTTTTTCTGAAAGAGAGAGAAAACGATTAATGACGACGTCACGATCATGTGATCTGGTGAGGTCATCATGGTTCGAGTTTGAGTGGAAAATAATTCTGAAATATTCATGAGGAAGAAACCGTCCCTCCGTCCTCCTCCGCCCACCGTCCCCTCGTCCTCCTCTGCCCACCGTCCCCTCGTCCTCCTCCGCCCACCGTCCTCCTCCGCCCACCGTCCCCTCGTCCTCCTCCGCTCACCGTCCCCTCGTCCTCCTCCGCCCACCGTCCCCTCGTCCTCCTCCGCCCACCGTCCTCCTCCGCCCACCGTCCCCTCGTCCTCCTCCGCTCACCGTCCCCTCGTCCTCCTCCGCCCACCGTCCTCCTCCGCCCACCGTCCCCTCGTCCTCCTCCGCCCACCGTCCCCTCGTCCTCCTCCGCCCACCGTCCCCTCGTCCTCCTCCGCCCCCTCGTCCTCCTCCGTCCCCTCGTCCTCCTCCGCCCACCGTCCCCTCGTCCTCCTCCGCCCACCGTCCCCTCGTCCTCCTCCGCCCCCCTCGTCCTCCTCCGCCCCCTCGTCCTCCTCCGCCCCCTCGTCCTCCTCCGCCCCCTCGTCCTCCTCCGCCCACCGTCCCACCGTCCTCCTCCGCCCCCTCGTCCTCCTCCGCCCACCATCTCCTCGACCTCCTCCGCCCACCGTCCTCCTCCGCCCCCTCGTCCTCCTCCGCCCACCATCTCCTCGACCTCCTCCGCCCACCGTCCTCCTCCGCCCACCGTCCTCCTCCGCCCACCGTCCCACCGTCCTCCTCCGCCCACCGTCCTCCTCCGCCCACCGTCCTCCTCCGCCCACCGACCTCCTCCGCCCACCGTCCTCCTCCGCCCCCTCGTCCTCCTCCGCCCACCATCTCCTCGACCTCCTCCGCCCACCGTCCTCCTCCGCCCACCGTCCTCCTCCGCCCACCGTCCCACCGTCCTCCTCCGCCCACCGTCCTCCTCCGCCCACCGTCCTCCTCCGCCCACCGTCCTCCTCCGCCCACCGTCCTCCTCCACCCACCGTAATCCCCAGCAGGTAAAGATCAATGCTGATAGAAGCTCTGATAATGATCTAATTTATAGACACCATTTCCACCTTTGTTTTTCTAATTTAGGACAATTTCTTTTTTCATTCTGTATTTTTTTTGTACACCAAGGAGGCTTTTTTATTTTGGATTTTATTGAATATTGTGTTTTTGTTTAGTTTCCTGTTTGGTTGCTAGGATCTTCTTAAAGGTTTAATTCTGACACCCAGAGCCTTCATGTGTCAGAAAAGCTTTAAACTGGTTAAAATAAAATGGTTTATAAACCGAAAGTTTGAATGAATTTACTTTATGCAGACTATTGATTTTGAAGGTAGTTTAAACATACGGTGATAATAGCCGAGATTTATGGTGATTTTTCAGCCCTACCTGGACCGCATCATCAAGTAGGAGGAGCTTCAGCTGAATTTAAAAACATCACATGTGCTGCTGCTGTTTCAGAGATTCAGGTCAACCAGACGGCAGCTAACCATTTTCAGAGCTGCTTCACTTCTTCATGTGTTTTTCAGATAGAATCATCTTAAATTACGACCGATGACATCATCATCCCAGCAGACGTTAGCGCCGCGCTAGTTTCCTGATATAAAGCTGTTGCATCACATCAGTCATTCCTGAATAGAACGGTGACCTTATTCAGTGGAATGATTGTTTATTATTTGTGGCGTGCTTTGGCGGCGCAGTGGTTAGCACGCACAACCCATGGCGCATGTCTGTCACCCTCTCTTATACCCAGTGTCCTGTCAGCCTGCTGTCCAGCCACTAGTGCCGTAAAAAAAAAAAAAAAAAAAACAACACAAACATAAAAAAAATGATTGTTTAATATTTAGTTAATAAAAAGCCTTCCAGACCCTGTGCTTTGGACCTAGTTACCCCTGGCAACCCCACTTCATTTCCTGTCAGCTTTTCACAATAAAAGCACAGGTGAACCTTGCTGTTAAATTGTTGTCTATGAAAAAGTTTTAAATCTCCTTGTGAAGATGAGTTTTTGGAAAAGACCCAAAGGTTCTGAAACTAAGATCCTCTTTGGTTCATCGGGAGCTGCTTCTGGGTGACGGTCGGATTCGGCGGGACTTCCTGTAGATCTACAGTAGATCTGCAGCTAACGATTATCTTGCTAATCGATTAATCTGTCAATTATTGTTTTGATTAATAATCGGATAACCAAAGGTTCCTTAAAGAAGATTTATGAAATTAATCCAGGTGAATCTACTGCAGGAGTTCTGGATTATAGAGCAGATTGACTTTTATCTTAAATGTAAAATGTTAATATATATTTTAAAATGTTTTATATATTTCCTGCTGTAAGTGGGTCGCTCTGTCAGTTAAAGGCACGTTTTATAGTCTCTATACTCCGGTTAAAGATTAATCCATTAATGAATTAGTTGACGATTATTTAAAAAATCTGATTAAAGGTTTCAGCCCAAACCTACACCCTGTCTACTTTTAAGGCTAGGCTTAAAACTTTCCTTTTTGATAAAGCTTCTAGTTAGAGTGGCTCAGGTTATCCTGATCTATCTCTATAGTTCTGCTGCTATAGGCTTAGACTGCTGGAGGACATGGGGACCCCTTTTTTCTCCAGTAAAACTCTTTTATCGGGCCATTTATGTTACGGATCATTCCATCTTAGAAAGCTACGATTGGTGAATTTGATGCAGGACACTTCTTGAGTTCAGCTGGGTTTATTTCTCTGCCGTCTGATTTAACTTTAACGAAAACAGCTCCAATCTGCCAACAGTGAGGTCCAGCCAATCATCTGGGAGTACTCACGCAGTAACTTCCTCTGCTTCTTCTGCAGACAGGATTTGACGTAGCGCTCCAGCTCCCGCAGCGTGGAGGGTTTGAGCGTCTCGAAGTCGATCTCGATCTCGTCGGGGTTGGAGTCTCTCAGCGACGGTTCTCTGGACTGGATGATGTGGACGACCCGGCCCAACTTCTCCCCCGGCAGACGGTTGATGTCCAGGCTCAGCTGCCGCTTCTCATCGTACGACATGGGCAGAGACGACTCCTCGCCGTCGTCTCCATTGGCCGATCCGCCTCCCGATGTCTTGTTGGCTTTCTTCGGTTGCCTGGAAACAGAGAGCAGCTCTGATTGGTCCACAGTTCTTCCGCGGCGGCCGGCAGGAAAACGGTGGGAGAAGCCGTACCTGGTGGCTGTGACGGTGCTGTTGGCTTTCCTGGCTGGTGCTTTCTTCTGATTGGCTGGTTTGGGTTGCTGGGCAGCGGCCTTAGGCTTCTTCTCTTCTTCTATCTTGGCTTTGTTGCCTTTGTCCTTGTCCTTCTTCTTTTCTTTGTCTTTCTTCTCTTTCTTCTTCTTTGGCTTGCTGACGGGCGCCTGCGACAGGACGGCCAGCTGCTCGTGCACAGCCTTCAGCTGAAGGAATAGACTGATAATCACAACCTGCGGCATCTGATCACAACCAGCCAGGCCTTGAACTGCTCAGCTACTGATCAATGTACGGCTACACATCAACATGATTCTGACAAAAGGAGGAGAAAACCAGAATGTTCTTGACCTGTGATTGGTCGGCAGCACCAACCTGCTCCTGTAGCTCGGCCAGTCGCGTGGCACGCTCCTCCTCGGAGTCGGAGGATTCGTCGGAGGAGGAGTTGTTGCTGCTGTCGGAGGAGGCGGTGCTTTTACTGACCACCGGGGTGGTGGAAGGGACGGAGACCTCCAGGCCCTCATCGGGGATCTTAGCGAAACGCATCTCGAACACGTCCTGAACACACACACACACACACACAGGTGAGTGGAGGCGGCGGTGGGCCAGAGGGGGCGCCGTGACGAGACGTACCTGCAGTTTGCGGGCCATGGCCACCACCTCGTGGTCTGGGGGGTTGTACTTGTAACAGTTGGAGAACATTAACCTGACATCGGTGGCGAAGCTCTGCGGGTCGCTGTACTCTCCTTTGTCCATTTTTTTCTGCAGACACACAAACGCATCGTCAGCGCTGGAGCTACAGGCTCCGCCCCCAATGGAGGCCGCCAAACAGAATCCTAACACAGGCGGTGAAACGTTAGCGCCTCAGAGCGCGGTAGAACCTGATGGCTGTCAGCCATATTCTATGATCTGTGGATCTATGCTCTGGTTAAGATGTTTTTCTCTTTCTTCACCTAAACGAAGCGGTTCTACCAGAACCTCAGAGGAGAACCTAAAGCAGAAATCTGTACTTTAGAACAGAACGAGAATCATACGGTAACTCCCCTCAGACAAACTGCATCGCATCGGTTTCTGAAGGATCAAATCTCTTCTGGAGGCTCAACATATTATTCCCTTTATTTGCTATTATTTGACATTTCAATATAAATCATCCGTCTGGAACACTGACTGAACTCTGCTATTTAACAAAGTGAGAAAAAAAAGTTTCCGCTTATTTTATTCTTTTTATTCAGATCTGAGGTCAGAGGAGGACAAATGGAACATTTTAAAAATGACTCATTGAGATTTAAGACTTTTTTCTACTTGTAGCAAAAGAACAGTTGTTGTTGACACAAAGTTAAAAGCAGTGTAGCTTAATCAGGCTAACTGAGTGAGCTAAAAGAGGCTAACCTGTTAGCTACTGCTAGCTACAGCGCTACCCAGCTCTCCCCCTTTATATCACGGTCTAACAGTTACTTTGTTCACCAGAAACTGATTTTTTCACTTTTGTTATCGATCAGGTAAACCTTCATCTGTCATTAGACACGCTAACGCTACAGATGCTCCTGACTCGCCACACGGACGCTGCGTGATGTTATTATGGTTGTCTGGGAAACCCCAGTGTTTTACATCATGTGGCAACGTTCAGCCAATCACGTAGCGTGATGTCACAGACAGGAAGCAGGACCAGAGCAGATCTGGGAGCTACAGCGGTTTAACCCATTAGGTTCCAGTTTAACCCATTAGGTTCCAGTTTAACCCATTAAGGTTCCAGTTAAACCCATTAAGGTTCCAGTTTAACCCATTAGGTTCCAGTTCCTTTCCCTGTTCTGGCCGTTCAGGTCGCCATAGAAACCAGACAGGTTCCAGTATTCATCCTGGAAATGTGCTCTGACAGCAGAACCAGACCTGAACAGAACCCTGAGGGGAGGGGCTTACCCGGACCGTGCTGAGGTCCATGGGGTGTTTGATGATGTCATGGTAGTCGTGCAGCTCCAGCGCCTCGGCGTCCACAGGCTTGTAGAAGGGCCAGGCGTAGGCGGCGTGCTTCTTGGACAGCATCTCCTTCAGGATGGCGTCGCAGTGCTTCATCTGCTCGCCCAGCTTCCCGCCCTTCCTGGCTCCCGCCCCCACCCCTCCCACAGCAGGGTCGCCTCCTGCCACCTCCTCTACCGTCTCACGGCGGGTCTTGGCAGGGCGGGCGGCGGCCTCCCGCCGCGATGAGGCCAGTTTGGCCGGTTTGGGGTCCTGAGGGGACGGCGAGTCTGCGCGTCCTGCAGAGATGGCCGACGTGGTGGGAGTGGTGGTGTCAGCTTTCCTCTTCACGCCTTTCTTCTGCTGGACAAACAAACACAGAGAGATGAGACACACCCACTGAGAAACCGGCCTGATCGCTGCCTGCAGGGGATGCTGTTACCTTGACGACAGGCTGCGCAGACGGCATCATGGTTGCCGGGGGTTGCGGGGCCGGCACAGGGGGCGTGGCAGGCACAGGCGTGGGAGTGGTGGAGATGATGGGCGTCTGCGATGGGGAGGGGTAGGAGGCAGGAGGGGAGGCCGAGGACTCCGCCTGCTGACTCACTGAGGAGGACAGACACACAGAGAGGTTAGAACCTGAGGAGGTGCAGCTTGTGATGGCGGATGTCCCCTCGCCAGCGCCATCTCACCTGTGGTGGCGGCCGGCTGTTTGCTCTTGTTCTTCCCTTTGGGCGCCGGCGGCAGCAGAGCAACCTCCTCCTGCGGCATTTGGGCCACCTTCTGTAGGAAGATCTTCTCCAGGGCCTGGGCCATGAGCACGATGTCGTCTGTAGGCTGCAGTAACACACTGGCTGTAACATCACTGGCTTGAGGCTAACATTGGGCTAACGTCACGCTAACGTTGGGTTAGTGTCGGGCTAAAGTCACGCTAACGTCGGGTTAGCGTCATGCTAAGTTCAGGCTAACATCGGGCTAAAGTCAGGCTAACGTCGGGCTGAAGTCAGGCTAACGTCGGGCTGAAGTCAGGCTAACGTCGGGCTGAAGTCAGGCTAACGTCGGGTTAGCGTCATGCTAACATCAGGCTAAAGTCAGGCTAACGTTGGGCTGAAGTCAGGCTAACATCAGGCTAACGTCGGGCTAAAGTCAGGCTAACGTCACGCTAACGTCGGGGTAACATCTGGGTAATGCCACACTAACATCGGGGTAACGTCACTCTAACATCGGGCTTACGTCACGCTAACATTGGGGTAACATCTGGGTAAAGCCACGCTAACATCGGGGTAACGTCACTCTAACATCGGGCTTACGTCACGCTAACATTGGGGTAACATCTGTGTAAAGCCACGCTAACATCGGGGTAACGTCATGCTAACATCGGGGTAACATCAGGATAACGTTGAGCTAAAGTCAGGTGCGTGTCGGACGGCATACCTTGTTGTAGATGTAACAGTTGGTAAACATGGTGTTAAAGTCCTGCATGGCCTCACTGGCGCTCCAGTAATAGTTGTTCTCCAGGCGTTTCTTGATGGTCCCCATGTCCATGGGGTTCTTGATGACCTTATGGTAGTCCTGCAGACAGAGGTGTGAGTTGAAGGCCTGGCTCTATGCTAGCCAGGCTAACGGTAGCGAGCGTCCACCTACCCACAGACAGAGCTTAATGGCGTCCACCGGCTGGTAGAAGGGCCAGGCGAACTGATGCTTCCACAGCGTCTTCACCACCACGTTCTGCATGTACTGGAGCTGGTTGGTCTTCCTGTGACACAAACACACACGGGTCACACACAGCGCCGCCGTCACGCACAGCGCCGCCGTCACGCACAGCGCTGCCGTCACGCACAGCGCCGCCGCCACGCACAGTGCCGCCGCCACGCACAGCGCCTTTCATCCAGCTGAGCCTTACCTGCCAGGTTTGTTGGGGTTGGACACCTCTGGGGGGGGCGGGTTGGTGATGGGAGGGGGGCTGGCGGGCGCAGCCTCAGGGGCGTCCGACATGGTGGACGATGGAGGCACAGCAATGCACCGTGGGAATGCAGCGTCTGACGCGGTGAGAAAACGTGGCAGCCCAAATGAGGGGGGAGGGGGGCGGGGGTTCAGGTGTTTTCAGTTCAGGCGCTGCAGGTGGAGACGCTTCGGCTCAGACGATCCCCCGTAGAGACCAACTCCCATCGCAGGACCTGCAACAGACAGACCGTTAGCCCCGCCCCCGCTGACATCATCTCTCCTAACAGTGGACTGAGACGTCATGTTTAGCAGGAGACCTGCAGAGGACTTTATGATGTCACTTCTATGAGCACTGAGCCGACCAATCACAGCCTGGAGCTGTTCACTGATCGTTCTGACTCAAGTTCTTATTTCCTCATTGGATGATTTTTCTAGACCTGTTGATTAATATCAGCCGGTCTAGAAAAATAAAACTTTACTGTTTTAAACAGCGCGGGGGTGGGGCAAAAATGTTTATCCTTTTAATTATGACGCTCACAGATGTCACAGATGTCACAGATGCGGAGCTAAAAGATAATCCTGTGGCGGCGCTTGGTGACTCATGACCTTGGACCCGTCTGATGGAGCTCCTGCCCCGGTAGCACCTCTGGAGGTCTGCAGGAGAAGGAGGAGTGATTCTCTAACTGCAGAAAACTGATGGAAGCTTTTATTTTGAAGTTTCAGTAACTCAGCCCCTGAGCCTTCAGTTCCCACACCGACCCAGGAAGCCCAACGGTCAGGGAACGCACCACGGAACCAATGTGGCGCAGAGCAGCCAAGTAGATGCTAACCGGACCCAGCAGCTCCACCAGAACCCCCCCCTTTCCTGAAGTAACCTTTCTGGACTGCAGTGGGAGAACTGGGAGGCGTACAGCAGTGCTGCTATATCAGCAGAACCCGGGTCTGAAGCTCACGATGTTCCAGAACAAGCCGGAACAAGACCAGGGACTCTCCAACCGAGCCAACACTTCAGCAGAACCAACAGGAAACTCCTGAAAGGACATGCTTGATGAGGTTCTGGTCCAGATCCAAAACCTCAGATGGAACCTCTGGTGGACAGAAGAAGGAGCTGTGTCGGGTCAGAAGCAGCAGGAACAACATCTGGGAGGAACTTTCTAGAACCAAATGTTGGATCGGCTGGTAATGAAGACGTTCCTCTCTATCGGGTTCTTCAGGCTCGGATCGGATCTGCTGAGCCCAGGCCCGGTTTACTGGGAGCTAAACTGGGAAAGCAAAGCAGACAGACTGGTCTCCTTAGAGCTCAACAGAACCGGGTTTGGACTCAAAGCTGAATGGAAAACATCCCATCTAGATTTAATCCCCAGAACTTCTACAGTCACAGAAACTGGTTCTGAGGTTCTTTTACTGGAGGTGCACCAGTTGGGCGATTCCAGGAACCAGTTTCTGGATCCAAACTGCCGGTTCTGATCTTCAACGGTGTAACAGGAGCGACGCTGCAGCAGGTTCTAGGATGGAGGCAGAGGTTCTGCAGCCCTCAGATTGAATGCCATGCTCGGGTCGGCGGTTACCAGAACCGCTCCGACCCGATCAAAACCGACTTCCAGCTGAGACGTATTCTTTAAGTTTTAACTGAACAATCTTGAAAATATCCTTTTAATTTGACCCTTTATGACTAAAACATGGTTATAGATGATCAGACCGACGCCTCGATCATTCAGGCCGACCATCCATCAGTCCGTTTTCCTGAATCCACTTCAGGTCAAAGTTCTGTTCTGCGTCTGTGAAGTCCAGCGCGTGCGTCCATGTTGAACGGGTCCGACCAGCAACCAGCTCACCTCACCACCAATGGAAACTCCAGGAAAGGTGAATAAAGGAAAAAATGACCTTGGTCTGACTGAAAGCTACGAGCAGAAGGGAGCTGCAGTTCTGCATTTGGCCACAGGTGGCGCCATCATTAGAAAAGTCCATCATGACTCTTTAAAGCTGAAACATCTGGGTTCATGAGAACCTCTGGAATAAAGACGAGCGACTCCTTTTGGTCGTTTATCAGAACTAAACGCTGAATATTTCTAATGTTTTAGATCAGTTTAGTCGTCCAAAGGAAACCTGAGCTGGAAACAAACACCAAGCTCCTTAAACCAACAAACATGCGATGCCTTCACAGCGAGTTAGAAAACCAGGAAAACTAGAAAAACACTACAATCAGCAGAATCCAGATCAGTTCAGGCTCATTTTAGACGGCCAAACATAAAGACATTTCATCCCAGCGCTGCGTGTCCCGTGACATCATCAATGACCCCTCACCCCCCCACCATGGACTGTTCTCCCTGCTGCCCTCTGGGAAGAGGCTTCCCAGCATTCAATGCAGGACCAGCAGGTTCTGCAGCAGCTTCTTCCCCACCGCCATCACACTGATGAGAAAACTATAAATCATGTCAGAGGGTTTATACACGAAGGAGTAACTCTAATTGACTGCTTTTAAATGCTCTTAGAAATAATTTGAATGCCATCAACAACAACCCATGACTCTCATATATACCTATATATATCTATATATATTTGTTATAATGCAGTAAAATCCTTCGTCATCTTTACCATGGACAGGCTGCAGCCATGTCACATATTCCTCGTTTTCCAGCCCAAAATTGAAATTTTCCGATTCTCTAGCCTTTTCTCCGCCTCGAGCTTCTTTTCCGAACATTTTTACGATCAACCGGAAGCAGATCTACGCAAATATTGCGATATAATATATCTGAAAGTGTTTTATTAATCATATATATTTTTTAAATAAAGCATTTTGAATACAACAATTATCACATTTAATGAATTGTAATGCCAATTAAGGCCTTAATTTGAAATTATAATTTAATGACCCGCTGAAAGCCTGTTTCACACTGATAACACCAAACCAAAACTCTGCACATCTGCTCTATATATATTAATGCTCTGAGCTTCCAGATCAATGCCTTTTATTCCATGTTTTTCCTCCCACACTGTTTACATTTGATCACTGCTGAACTTTAAGATTTTGAAATGAAAGCTGAACTAAATTAAATGAAGTTTTGGTTAATCTTCGTTATTCAGACTTTACAACCTGAAACAGAGCATGACATCGATGTGGTTCTATTAAACTCCAAGGGACCGATGCGCTGCCCTCAGGCTGGACGGAACCGCAGGAAATCCTATTAGTTCCAATTTGGACCCAAGATTAAGCTATTGGGCTTTTTCAGGAGCAGTTCTGCTCATTAGGCCATCAGAACCTCCTGCTTCCTGCACAGACCTTAACAAATGCACAGTCAATGATTTTCAAAGGCCTGGAAGCCCTTGCACCCTGTGCAATGCCCTGACCCCCCCACTGTCCAGTATTAATGGTACTTTATCATTTCCTCCCATTCTGCACAGCCAGCGACATTAAAATCCCCCCATAATCCAGGATCTGAGGTGTTTACTGGAGTCTGAGCTTCATCAATATAGTGAAGCATTTCTGGAGGCCTCTGCCTGGACTCATCATCACTTTATTCCCTCCAGCTGTAAACATTAGCATCCAGAAATGGACCCAGTCCGAACCTGCAGCTGGATTAGAACCACTCAAAGCCAATTAACCAAACCCCACCAGCTCCTCTGATACCGGGGAACCTGGCTGAGCCCGAACCGCACCTCCAGGAGCCCCGCAGGCTGGGCCGGGCAGCCGGGTTCTGCTGCAGCCTGTTCCCGGGGAGCCCAGCTGCCCGCTCGCCTCTGCCGTTATGCGGCTAATGACCGAGCTAGCAGCTAGCGGCCGTTCGCCCCGCAGATAGTCCTCCTAACGGCGGATCCGCTGCGCTCCTCCGCCCCGCCGCTGCCCTGCAGCCCGCAGCCGTTAGAGCCGCAGCGGCCGCAGCTGGGACGCTGTTCCGATCGTCCTTTGGACCGAAACCTCCTCCTACCGAGCCAGAAAAGATGGCGGGCAAGCCTCGGCTAGCAGCTCGCTCCTAGCAGACCGAGCGGAGCTCCTTACCGGGGAGCCAGGGCCCGCTCGGTGGGAGGGGGCGGAGTGGCAGGGTGTGTGTGGTGGGGACACATCGACCCTATGTGGGTTTAGGAGGTGTTTGGTACCGGAGTTATTGGGCCAATTCTCCCATATCTGCTTCTCCTCCCGCTCCGTGCTGCTAGCCTGCTAGCTGTTAGCCTGTTCGCTGAGCTTTGTCTGAAGGCGCCGAGCGGCCAGCAGCCTCCGAAACACCGCGACCCGAAACATCCGCTCCTCCCCGCCCCTAACCCAGCCTCCAGAACCCCCCCAGCCCGGTTTACTTTGTTCTCTGGTGCCCCGGGTTGGGGCCAGCGGGGATCAAAGCTTCTCTCGGGGTTTTTATTTAAGGGCCAAGTACATATAGTGGTTTTCACGTCCCGTCGCATGCCCCAAACCCCAAACCGCATATGCGTTTTTGTTTGATTCTTTCACTTTAAGAAGCTGTGATTGCTCTGATTTAAATTTTGATTGGTCAGAAAGGGGTTCCGGGGTTGGGGTTTTTTTTTTGGCTGAAAGAATGGGCGATCTGGCTGTTTTGCGGGTTGATGTTGGGGGTTCAATTCCCCGGGAAAAAAAACCCCTTTCCCCACATGCAACTGAGCCCCGGAGTAGCCATTTCGTGCAATGATGATTTTTTAAAAAATTACAGGGGGGAATTTTGGGCCACTACCCCAGTGGCACATTTATTTTTATCACATCCTTCTTCTGTTTGCATCTTTTTCAGATACAAAATTTATAAATATTCCAAAAATTTTCCCCACTCAATTTTACTACACGAATTAAAAGATAAAATACTTTGTTTTAAAAAACAATATTTCCCCGGAATTTCTGAGCCTTTTTTAAAGAATCTTTATGTTTTTTTGTAGTTTTTTTTTTTTTAAAACCTTCTTTTTCTTCTTATTTTTCCTTGTTCAAGATCTGTATATTTGTTTTATAGCAAAATATTTTCATAAGAACAAAAAAGAAAACAGCCAGACTAGAGATTTTTTATTTTTATTTTGCAAATAAAGTTGTAACATTCTGGGAATAAAGTCATAATATGGGAATAAAGTCATAATATGAGAAGAAAGTCATAAAATTATAAGAATAAAGTCGTTATATTACAAATAAAGTCTAACTTCGAGATAAAGTATAATATAAAAAAAGTCTAATATTATGAAATAAATTTAACTTAGGAAAAAAATGTAAATGAGAATAAAGTCGTAATTTTATGAAATAAATCAAATATTATAAAATAAAGTCTTAATAGGGGAATAAAGTCGAAATATAGAAAACAAAAAAATTATAAAAAAAAAGTCTTTTATTCCCAATAAATTAACTTTCGGTAAATAAAATTTGGGAAAATAAAATAAAAAAAAATCAAAAAATTTTAAATAAAGCTTAATTACCAGAATAAAGCGAAACATTATAAATAAATTTTAAATTAGGGGAAAATAAAGTCTAAATGAGAAAAAGTCAAAAAAATTTAAAAAATAAATCGTTAATTACCATAAAAAAGTCGAAAACTTTTGAAATAAATTTTAATTTATAGAATTTAATCGTAACTTTAGTGATTAAAATCTAATATGGAATAAATCGTAATATTATGATAATAAAGTCGAAATTATAAATAAAGTCGTAAATTCTGAAATAAAGCTAATAGGGGGAAAATAATTCATAATATAAAGAAAGTCATAAAATTATAAGAATAAAGTCGTTATATTACCATAATAAAGTCGTTACATTCTGAGAATAAATAAAATAGGGGAAAAAAATCAAATATAGAAAAAATTCATTAAAAATAAGAAAAAAGTCGTTTATATTACCAAATAAAAGGTTACATTCTGAGAAAAAGTTGTAATATTATAGAATAAAGGTAAATTATTGAATAAATTAATAGGGAAATAAAGTTTAATATTATGAAAAAAAAGTGTAATTTATAAAATAAAGTGAATTTTGAAAGAAATAAAAAATTTATGGGGTAAAGCTTTCATTGCCAAATAAAGTCTTAACATTCTAAAATTTTTTGGGAATATTAAGAATAAATTGGTAACATTAGTAATAAAACGAAAATAGAAATAAAGTCAAAATTTATGAGAAAAAAGTCGTAACATTAGGGGAATAATCATAATATGAAAAAAGTCAAAAAATTTAAAAATAAAGTGTTTTTTACCAAATAAAGTCTAACATTCTAAAAAAAATTTCCAAAATAGGGGAATAAAGTGTAATATGAGAAAAAGTCAAAAAATTAAAAGCAATCGTTATATTCCCAGAAAAAAGTCGTAACTTTCTGTGAAAAAAGTCATTATGGGAATAAAGTCAAATAAAAAGGGAAAGCAAAAAAATTATAAGAAAAAATGGGTTATATTACCAGAATAAAGTCAAAACTTTCGGGGAAATAAAATATAATATGGAAAAAGTCGAATATGAGAAAAAAGCATAAAATTAAGAATAAAGCGTTATATTCCCATAAAAAAGTCGTTACTTTCTGAAATAAAGGTAATATTATAAAAAAATTCGAAAATTTATAGAAAAAAGTCGAAATTAGAAAGAAATCTTTTAAAAATTATAAGAATAAAGTCGTTACATTGCCAGAATAAAGTCGTAACATTCTGAGAATAAAGTTGTAATATATAATAAAGTCTAACTTTTATTATTAAATCGTAATATAAAATAAATCGTAATATTATAAATAAATCGTAATTTTATAAAAATAAAGTGTAATTGAAAAGAAATTTTAAAAATTATAAAATAAAGTCTTATATTACCAGAATAAAGTCAAATTATGAGAATAAATTGTAATATTATAAAAAAGTCGTAACTTTTTGTGAATAAAAATTCAATATGAAAAAAGTCATAATATTATAGAAAAAGTCGTAACATTATGAATTATTCTTAATATTAGGAATAAATGTAAATTTGGGGGGAATAAGCTAATAGGGAAGGAAAAAATCATAAAATTATAAGAAAAAGTCTTTTTTACCAAATAAACAAAACTTCTGAAAAAATCATAAATAAAATAAATCGAATATTATGAAATAAAGTCGAAACATTATGTGTTAAAATCTTTTAAAGAGAATAAAGCGTAATATTTAATAAATCGTATATTAAGAATAAAGCTAATATGGAATAAAGTCTAAAATAGAAAAAGCTAAAATTATAAAATAAATCTTATATTACCAAATAAATGACATTCTGAATAAAGTAAAAATATGGGAAAAATCATAATATGAAAGAAAGCAAAAAATTTATAAAATAAAGTCTTTATTTTACCAAATAAAGTCGAACTTTATAAATAAATTTTATGGGAAAAAAAGTCTTAATATGAAAAAAAGTAAAAAAAAATTATAAGAATAAGTCGTTTTTTCCCCAAATAAAGTCAACTTCTGAAAAAAATTGTAATATTATAAATAAAGTCGTAACTTTATTATTTAAAAAATCGTAATAAAAAAAAATGAAAATTTATGAAAAAAGTCGTAATATTAAAATAAAGTTTAACATTCTGGAAAAAAAGTCATAATAGGGGAAAAATTTTCATAATTGAGAAGGGAAAGTCATAAAATTAAAAGAATAAAATCGTTTTTTACCAAATAAAGTCGTACATTTTGAGAAAAAAGCATAATAGGGGAATAAAGTATAATTGGAAAAGAAAGGTCATAAATTATAAGAATAAAGTCGTTATATTCCCTAAAAGGTTACATCGGAAAAAATTTGTAATATAAGAATAAATCGTACTTTATAAAAAATCTAATTAAAAAAGTCGTAAATTAGGGAAATAAAGTCGTAATATTTAAATAAAGCTAATATAAAAAAATCAAAAATTATAAAATAAAGTGTTCTTGCCAAAAAATCGTAACATTCTGAAAAAAATTGTAATTTTAGAAATAAATGAACTTTATTGAAAAAAATGAATATGAAATAAAGTCAAAATATATAGAAAAAAAGCCCGTAAACTTGGGGGAATAAATATAATATGGAAAAAACATAAAATTTATAAAATAAAGTCGTTATATTACCAAAATAAAGTCTAACTTTCTAGAAAAAAGTATAATAGGGAAAAAAGTCTAATATAAAGAAATCAAAAAATTTATAAGAATAAAGTCGTTATATTACCAAAAAAAGTCTAACATTCTGGAAAAAATCTAAATAGGGGAAATAAAGTCGTAATATGAGAAAAAGTCATAAAATTAAAAATAAAGTTTAATTCCAAAAAAGTCGTTACATTCTGAGAATAAAGTCATAAAGGAAATAAAGCGAAATATGGAAAAAGTCATAATATTAAAAAAAAGTCGTAACTTTTGGGGAAATAAAGTATAATATGAAAGAAAGTATAAAATTTAAATAAAATCGTTTTATTACCAAATAAAGCAAAACATTCTGAGAAAAAGTCATAATTTGGAAATAATGAAATATAAAGAAAGTCAAAAATTTAAAAAAAATCTTATATTACCGAATAAAGCGTAACATTCGGAAATAAAGTCATAAAGGGAATAAAGTCAAATAATGAAAAAAGTCAAAATTAAAAGAATAAACGTTATATTACCTTAAAAAAAGTCTTTACAATCTGAAATAAATTTTTAATATTATAGAATAAAGTCAAAATTATTTGAAAAATAAAGTCAAATTAAAGAAAGTCATAAAATTAAAAAAAAAAGTCTTACTTTGCCAAAAAATTCGTAAATTCGGAAAAAAGTTTATATTATGAGAATAAAGTTAACATTTGTATTAAAATCGTAATATAAAAAGTCTAATATTTAGAATAAATCGTAAATTATGAGAATAAAGTCTTTAAATTGAGAAAAAGTCATAAAATTTAAGAATAAATCGTTATATTCCCAAAATAAAGTCGTAATTATAGAATAAAGTTGTAATTTATGAAAATAAAGTCGTAACTTTAGTAATAAAAACTAATATAAATAAGTAAAATATTATGAAATAAATCGAAAACATTATGAGAATTATGTCTTAATTTATAGAAAAAAAGTCGAAACATTAGGGGAAAAAGTAAAATATAGAAAAAAGTCAAAATTAAAAATAAAGTCTTTATATTACCAGAAAAAATCAAAAACATTCGAAATAAAGTCTAATAAAAATAAAGCGAAAATATGAAAGAAAGTCATAAAATTTAAAATAAATCGTAATATTATAAAAAAAGGTCGAAACCTTTCTGAGATAAAGTAAAAATATGGAATAAAGTCATAATATGGAAGAAAGCAAAAAATTTTTAAGAATAAAGTCTTTATTCCAAAAAAAAGCAAAACCTTCTGAAAAAAGTTGAAAATTTTATGAAAAAAGTGTAAATTATGTGAAAAAATCGTAATATAAATAAATCGAAATATTA